GCCCCTCCCATAAGTCAGCTCTGCCCCTGATCAGCCGCCCCCCCCACTCCGATCAAGGGCAGGGCCAATGGCCAACCACCCATGGCCCCTCCCCAGGCCGCTGGCCCCTGATTAGCCCCCCCACCCCATTTGGGGGCAAGGCCAGCCGGCCCACCACGCACCACCCCTTCCCACAGCCGGTTCCACCCCCAATCAGCCCTCACCACCCCAATCGGTCCACGGCCCCTCCCTCCAGCCAGCTCTGTACCCCATCGGGGTCCCCACACCAATCAGGGGTGGGGCTGGCCGGCCAACTTCCCACAGCCCTTCCCCAGTGCTGACCCCTGATCGGCACCCCCACACCCCATCTGGGGGCGGGGCCAGTGGGCTCACTGCCCACAGCCCCTCCCCACAGCCAGTCCCACCCCCAATTGGCCCCCCCACCCCAATCAGGGGCTGGGCCTGCCAGCCAATCGCCAGCCAACCTCCCACTGTCTCCTCCTCCCGACAGGATCTGCCCCGATATGCCCCACTGGTGCACGAATTTATGCACTGGGCCTCTAGTCCTAATATACGAAGCCTGGGCCCATGGGAATGCCCGGATTCATTCCAGGAGTTTTCACTGAACTGAACCTGAGCCCAGCACTCCACCTCCTAGGACAACAATTGAATTACATTTCAGGAAATGAGTGCTATCACCTGCATTAAAGTAAGTGTCACATCTTAGCTGGCCGCAGTCACACCACCCCGCCCCCAGGTCTTTCTTTCCATGATTGGCAGGTACTACCCACTGTTGTTGATAACAAGCAGCTGTTGTCATCATCATCATCATTATCACCACCTCCCTCGGGGCCTGGCCCTTTAATTCCTGGAAAGGGCGGATGGAGTTTGAGGCTTCATAGAGGACATCTAGATAATTTCTGAAGAGACTAAATAAATAAGACGAGTCCTCAGTGCCTTCGACGCAGCTTAATGTGCCTGGGAACCTCGGGCTTGGCACCGAGGTCCGGTCTGACCACCAGTGACCATGGCCACCTGCAGGTGTCACTTATCCATCTGTGACCTCAGTGACCTCGTTGTGACCTCCCTGTGACCTCCCTGTGACACGGGAACTGTGCTGACACCGCCCTCGTGCGGTCGCACACGTGTCAACCAGACGACGAATGCAAAGGCAGCCTGGGAATCTAAGTCACACTCCCATCCTTCCATCCCGGGCTGTCCCCAGGCTAGATTAGTAAATGTCTACAACATCTTACAGAATTCCATCCTGGGACGTCTGGGGGAGGAAGGGAAGGTTGCAAAGGACAATGGCCTGGCCCTCTCCATATCCTTAAAGTCGTGGGAAATCTTCACTCGCTAACAGGAACTCAGGCAGCAGGATGGAACCGCTGCCCCAGCAACAGTTACAATCCCACCACCAAACCACCCCCTACCCAGAACCAAACTGCCCACGGCTGCCCACTCTCTCCAGCGTGGTAACTGGGGTGGCCCAGCTGGACCAACGGCTTCCTACTCAGGCAGAAGTGGGCCGTGTGCAGCCACCTTCACCCCGATGCACCCCTCTTACTGACACCTCCCTGGCCCGCATCAACGCCTGCCCCTACCTCCCCTCACAGGACGCCTTACCTGGGGATCAGCGGCGGACTTTCGGACACTCATGTGGGCAGTCTCGGGAGGGTGTGCTGGGGTCCCTGATGCGTGGTATCCATTCACTGTGGGGACAGAAACACGGCTCAGATGTGGCGCTGGCCACAGACTTCCTGCCCCTGCCGCCCCTTCTCCCGCCTCGGGGCCTGGCGCTGGGAGGGCTCGTCTCAGGACCTCCCCCGTATTCACAGAGCTGGAAAAGGGGCACAAGCATCTCTCTAACCCCCAGCACCCAATGACTGAACTCGTGGCGGACACGTTTCTTTTTGAGCCAGAGAGGAAGAGGAATGTGCTTGGAAGAGCCGAGGCCACACCCACCCAATGGCCGTCTCTGGAAACGCCATCGGCTGCGGTCACTGGTGCTGGGCAAGGGCCCGCTCTCTCTCTGGGGTCAGGAGGCCCCAGCACCATCCTATAATTCCTCTCTGACAAACTTCGCTCTGAGAACCCCTCCATCCTCACGGCCACAGTGCCATGTGAGGAGTGTGTTTACTGTTTCCATGACAACTGTTTTGCCAATTAATAGCCAGGTGATCTTGACACCTTCTTAAGTTGCTTTTTCCAAGATTAAACACACACACACACACACACACACACACACACACACACAAATTCAAGTCTCTAAAACTCTACCCTTAATGACATTCACTCGTGCTCCCAATGTGAGCTAACAGACCGGCCCTTGTGTGTGTGTATGTGTGTATGTGTGTGTTGGGGGGGGGATGGGGGGCTGGTTCCCAGCATTTACCAGTTTCTGTGGCATAAATACCCCCACCACGGGGATTGGCAGCCCCAGCACCGCTGTGCGGCCCACACAACCCCAGTTCCCACGGGCGACGCTGCTCTCAGGGGCACAGTCCGGTGGCTCCTGCTCAGTGAGCCTCAGCTTCTGAAGCTATAAAATGGGGACCATGCTCCCCAGTCCCCAAACCTACTTTGTTGGTATGAATGAGACAACACCTGCAAAACGGACCTGTGAATTATAAAGGACTTCATGAAAAAAGGGGGTGGAGAGAGGGAGGTTTCCTGCTTACCTCCTGAATCTAGTCGCCTTGCACCCAAGACTGCACCATCACGGGGGACCAAGGAAGCCTGCCTCCCCCGCCCCAGGCTTGGAGCGATTGCCACAGCACGGACCGCGCAGGTCGGGCTGGGGGGACGCACAGACTCCTGTCCGAATCACAGTTTGCTGAGAGCTCTGCAGTGCGGCAGGAAGCAAAACGGAGACTGACTGAACGTCGGGAACCCTGCTCATGTGCAGCGGCAGGGGCGGGAGGCCAGCCATGGGGTGAAGGCGACCCCACGGGAACTTCCCTCGTGCTGGGGTGCTCCCTCCTCCACGGCCTGCAGTGAAACAGAGCCACACTGAGCAGGTTCCCGGGGCTGCTCCCGACCTGCAGGGTGGGCCCGACACTGCAGGAGAAGGGGGGGGCATAGGCACCCCGGGACAACAGGAAACTGGGCCCAGAGCTGGACCCCACGTGGACAGCCACACTCCCCTCAGGCAGCTGGTCAACTGCTGGCACTACCCAGGAGTCCCCCAGCTAAGGGGGGCGGGCAGGATTCCAAGAGCTTCAGAGAATGTCGGGGAGGTGGCGTGAGGACCGTCTACTCAGATCGGCATAAGCTGTGCCCCCAAGGGCATTAGACTGATGTCAAATACGACGAAACGGAAGGCATGACCTTTGGGAAGGTGTACTGGTCAGGCAACACAGCACTGAAATGGAAAAACACAGATGCTGGAGAAGCCAGTCAACAGCAGGAAACTCAGCACCGGCTCCCAGCCCAGGGCCTGGCGGACGGAGGCGCGGATGTGGAAAAGCTCAGTAACTTAATTTAAAAGGCTGATTGAACTGGATGCATGAAACATAACACCCCACAAACAAAGATGATATCTGTGCCAAGAAGCCATGGAACATTAAAAAAAAAAGTTGCGCATATTTAAGCCACAAATTAAGGATCGATAAATTGCAAGAGGTGTACATAACACAAGCCACATTCTTTGAGCAGAAAGTAATAAAAGTAGCTATTAATAACAAAAGAACAAATATACAAGTTCCCGTCCCCCCAACTTCCAAATGCTTAGAAAGGTGAGAAAATGCCCTGTTAAATAATCTGAGGCCAAAGAGGAATTTAAAACAATAAGTTCACAATATTTAGAAGATAATGAGGAAGAACGTATTGGAAGGGACAAGGCCTGAATTATATTTGGAGGAACATCTATAGCTTTCATTACCTCATTACCAAAGCCAAGGACAAATAAAAATAAATGAACTAAACATTCGATTTAAAAATTTAGAAAAAAATCAAAAGCTACGGAAATAAAGCAAAGGAAAGCACGAGAGAGAGATAGAAACACGGCAGCAGGAATTCCTGAGCTGGGAGGCAGGGTGGCACTAAGGACCCCGCTGGTCCTCTCTGTGTGATGGGGGGAGGGCCAGGGGTCACAACAATGAAGAAACCAGATCAGCGTGTGTAATTGAGAGGGAGAGACCGCAAGTGCCTGGAATGGAGGATTAGAAAGAAAACAAGCACAACCAGCAGAGATACTTTCTTTAATGCAACAGCATTTGATTTATTATTCTACTAGAGGCCTGGTGCATGAAAATTCGTGCACTAGGGAAGGGGGGAGGTCCCTCAGCCTGGCCTGCGCCCTCTCGAAGTCCAGGACCCCTCGGGGGATGTCCACCTGCTGGCTTAGGCTCACTCTTCAGGGGATCGGGCCTAAGCTGGCAGTCAGACATCCCTTTGGCAGCCAGGGACCCCTTGGGTGATGTCCAACTGATGGCTCCAGGGGGAGCAGGCCTAAGCCGCAGTCAGACATGCTTAGCACTGCCGAGGAGGAGGGAGAGCCTCCCGCCAATGCGGCTGCGCTCGCAGCCATCAGCCCAGCTTGTGGCTGAGTGGAGCTCCCCTTGTGGGGGCACACTGACCACCAGGGGGCAACTCCTATGTTAAGCGTCTGCCCCCTGGTGGTCAGTGCATGTCACAGCAACTGGTCGTTCCTGCTTGTTCCACTGTTAGGGTCAATTTGCATATTACCCTTTTATTATATAGGATGCTAATAAACACAAAGCCTTCCATAAGGTTCAAATGATCCACATGGTTTCAAAGGACACTAGAAATGCCAAAATGAGTAAAATCTTTGAAAAGTGGCCTCCCTCCAAAGGCACTGGGCCCGGATGGTTGCATGGGCAAACTCCTTCAAACGCTCAGGCACAGACTGCACCACCATATAGAAACATGTGGCCAGTTGCCCAGTTCATCACACAATGCCAACATCACCCGAACCTAAAATCTACCAACGGAAGCAACAACCAGAACCACATTCAGTCTGACGATGACTACGGAGTCTGGAAGTTCTTACCTGAGCAGGCCTCGGTTTCCAGTCAATCATTACCTCTGAGGGAGTGGGATCCCTGTAAACTAAGGTTGTCCCCAAGTTCTTGAGGGAAGAGGCTGCCCTCCTGACCTCTATGTACTCCCTTCACAGCACCCTCACCCCACGGTTCTCTCCCCCCGCTTCCAGGTCCCCAGGCTCCCAGCTGGCTGCTCACGGCAACCAGGAGTTGTCTGACGCAGGGCATTCTGCCCTTAATCCATTCTCTTGTTCTCGCTTCAGTTCTGGTCTGTCAGCTGTTGGCTAATTACTGCTCATGTCAAAACAATTACTGGGAAAGAAAAAATAATTTTCCATTCAACCACTTGTCTGCATACAGCAGAGATCTGAACCGCATGGCCCACCCTCCGCACCCTGCATTGGGGTTCCCAGTCCTCCAGGCTCCCCACTTACCAAGGGTTTACATACAAAACTCATGAGCCCAGAAGTGGGTGCTTCTGAGGCCTCCAGCTTCGGGGCGGGGAGGAAGGTGGGGGACGGGGAAGTTAAATACAAATTGATCAAGGACCACGATCACTCATAACCACAAGGAACATAATTTAGTTTGGGGATGCAAGTAAACACATAACATGCCAAATGAGCTGTTTTTAAGATAAGAAGAGGGAACGAAAAGCTCGATCTAGTAACTTTAGTAACTTCAGATACAAATATAAACACCCACAAGCACGCACTTCATCCCTCTCTGTGGGCAGTTGCACAGACGGGCCGAGAGGGGGCCTGGGGGACGCAGGAGGCAGAACCGATACTCGATAGAAAGGAGAAGGAGGCATTTGGGCTGGGGGAGGAGGGAAGTGGTTAAAAACGGAAAAGAAACACAGAAAGGGTTGTGCAGAGACAAACAGCAACAGAGAAGAGCCTGCAACTTCTGCTGCCCGGAATCCACGGCGCAACAGCTCCATCCTGAGCTCCACCGTCCAGGTTCCTGCTCTCTAAAGAGCCCCAAAGAGCAGGTGCCCCTTTCCAAACAAGGTGTCCCCCCGGAAACCCTCTCTTTCCTCTAGGTCTGGCCCAATCTCCTTTCTCTCCGGAATCAACACAGGCACTTCTTTCCTCAAGGCTGTGATCCCGGGGCGCCCAGGGCCTTGTTCCTGAATCTGTCCCCTCCACCCTCCCTCCGACCCACAGTCAACCCGGTAGAATGCCGTTTCCCGGCGGTACCACACGGCACCGGTTCTGCAGGGTGTGTATTATGACAAGAAGTGAAGGGAAAGGTCCATGGAGTTTGTACAAGTGCCCCCACCGTTCAGATTTCAATTGGTTTGCTCACAGTAGGCCTTTACAAATCCACAGGTGTACTCTGTGTCTTTTAAACAAGGCCTCAGTTAGCAGTATTCCTACACGTAGAGGGCCGCAGCCCCTGTGTTGGGGCAGAATCCAGTGGAACCCACTTTGGGAACCACAGCGGTGGCTGTCACAGGCAGGTTTTGAATCCAGGCACACACGGTAGCCAGTGTTGTGGTCAGCACCCCTGAAGGCACAGTCCCAGCCCCCCACTCCCCAACCGCCACCCACTGCCACCACACCCAGTAAGGCCTTGGAAGTTGCTCTTCCAGCATCACGCTCACCTCCTCAGGTGCGTGCAGCGTCTGCCCAGTCTGTTTAGAGGAGCAGTTTTACCATCATAGCCTCTCATCTGGAAATACCTGTCTGGCTGCCTGGCCCTCA